TACTACTAAATAGACCAAAACAATAGGTTAGTTACTAGTAGGTAGTGGTTGTCTATTATAACTAACTACTAACTAACCGTACGTCGTAGTACTATATATATATATATATATATATATATATATAGATATATGGAAGAGATTACAAAACACCTATGGGCGAAAATGAACAGTATTTTCGACCATAGGCTCGGTGCCGTCTGAATTTCTCGGACGGCACAGTATTTTCAACCATAGGCTCGGTGCCGTCTGAATTTCTCGGACGGCACAGTATTTTCGACCATAGGCTCGGTGCCGTCTAAATTTCTCGGACGGCACAGTATTTTCGACCATAGGCTCGGTGCCGTCTGAATTTCTCGGACGGCGTGGATTAAAGACCGTCACGGACATTGTATGTCTGTGGGCAGGATTTTTTACACAAATTTGATGCAAAAAATATTGGGGGACCGCCACGGCTCCCATAGGTTCGTGGCGGTTTTTAGGCAAAACCGTCATGGACATGCTATGTTCGTGACGGGCGCGAAATATTGTAGAAATTCGCCTACAGGCGTTTTAAGACTTTTCTTATATATATATATATATGTGCAAGGAAGAATAAATGAGAATGCAACTTTTAGATTTCTTGTGGTACTTACTTTTGCCTCCAAATTTCCTAAAAACTATCTCTCTCTCTACCATGCTTAAAATATCTTTACTTAAAAATCATTTTCCTCCATTTTTTCTGTAGCATCCTTCCCCTTAAAGGGCTTAGCTGGTTTGGACTTGCCACTACGCTCCTCCTTGCGACTATAGTCGACGAGCTGCCCCGCTGCTGCTTGCGCCGAGGCCAAGTCCTGCACGTCACACCTTTGTAGCTCCACCTCCACCCACGGTTGTAAGCCATCCAAGAAGTAGAATAGCTTGTCCTTCTCCGACATATCCCTTATGTCAACTATTAGAACTTCTACCATCCTTAAAATCTCTTTACTTAAAAATCATTTTGGTTTGTTACATAAATCTAGTGTTAGATTTGTCAAAAAAATAGTATCCATCTCTCCTTCAAAATATCTTTGATATTTTATCAAAACCTTGATTTTAAAAAAGGGTGAGGTTTGTATAAGGTATCAACCTTATACTATTGAAGTAAGGTGCACCTCAAAACTATGCTGAAAATGTAGTTTGGGTGCCTCGAAGCCTTGGCTTTACAATGATATGAAAATGTATTATTGCCCCCAATTATGAAATTTAAAGTTTCAGTAGTAGTGACAATCAAACAACTCTATAAACATTTAAAAATCTTGAAAATGGATGGTCTAGATAATATGTTGGCAGATGAACTATTTTTAGGACTAGAAATCCCCTTCTTTTCATGTCTATGAATCTCGAGGTCGAGATGATCGATTTGAGTGGTTTCCAACATACAAACAACCTTCTCTAGTGGGTTTTTTTAGGTGCACCCTACTTATACACAATACGGTTGACACCTTATATAAACTATTTTCTTTAAAAAATGATCAATTGTAGAGAAGAAATAGGAGAGAACAAAAAAGAAACCTTGTTAAAAAATTCAGACGGGGCTTTTGTATGCTAATTATCCCTACCAAAAATAAATATAAATTTTTATAGGAGTATTTTTTATCTAATCTCAAGAGGAGCAGTGTGCAACACACGTGCCATTAGCTAATTTAATTAAGCATAGAAGCAAGTGTAACATTCATGTCCTATGACTGTTAACAGTTTCAAAAAAGAAAAGAAAAAGAAAAAACATTCATGTCCAACAGTTGAAATTATACCTGTACTCATAGAAACAAGCAGTTCTTTCATTTTCAGCTTTGTTCCAATTATTCCAGCCAACAGGTTTAATACACGCATCCATCCATGTATATGCAAAAACCACCCGTCCAAAGGGGCCCCAAGGCCGTCCAAGATGAGTATATGATGCCCCTCCATTTCCAGTGATGACACACCTACATTTAGCGAATCCGTAGACTATAAGAGAGAGAGAGAGAGAGAGAGAGAGAGAGAGAAGAGAGATACTAAACAATACTGACATATGCAACAGTTAGTAATTGCAAGAAAACATTGTGTGTGTGTGTGTGTGTGTGTGTGTGTGTGAGAGAGAGAGAGAGAGAGAGAGAGATCTTAAAACAATATTGAGATATGCAACAATTGAATTTGCAGAAAAACATTTTGCACCAAAGGTTGGTAGTACCGAATGTGCCCACAATGAAAACTATGTTGCACCAAAATCCAGTGGCACGAAATGCTCAAAAATGTCGAAAAGAATAATAATTTACTCTATAGAGGGTGTAGCATAAGTTTGTTGGTTTTACGAGACTCAATGGGCTTATTTCCATTCTTCTTCTTTTTTTCTCTCTTTTTTTTTTCAATCACCTCATTGTAATGCTAATTTATTAAATGAAAATGTGAAATACCTAAAAACAAACTTATTCCTTTCTAAACTCTCATTTTTCACCATGGAAAACACCATAAGCTGCTATACGAGACAATTGGAAGCTTAAGAAAGGAAAAGGAGATTCATGTGCCTCCTAAAGCTTTTGTGAAGTAAAAAAAAGTACATATACAATCATTCAAATCATAAAATACAAAATTCATGTGCATCTAAAATTTTGGTGAAGTCAAACAAACCACAGATTTCTCGTTCAGATCAACAAATACAAGGACCAATGATAAAGTATTACTGAGAGAGCACAAACCTCAGGAAAACATAACCTGTTGATTCCTGAGGAGACTTCCTACTGTGGGCAGTAATGAATCCAGGTGATTTGCAATGTACATGACAATGTTCTAGAAGAGCTGTACTATTTCCAAAGATGAAGTCCACACTGCCTTCAACATAGCAGTCTCTTAGATAGTGTTTCCCATAATGCAAATATAAAGTATCCTGCATGAATGCCAGCACGATTTAATAAAGACTGAGAAAATTGTCATACATAGATTATGAATCAAATAGCACATCAATAAGTGATCATCTTTTTGCAATTGAATTTCCTGACATTCTTTACCTGCCACCCTAGGAACCTGCAACAGTAGAAAGCACATCGATCAGCCGTTACTCTTAGGGCCACAGCTTGGCCTGAACCCTGTCATAAAAAAAATAAAAACAAAAAAGATAAATAAAATAAGAGTAATGATCCAATGAGACCCTCCCACACCCATGTGTGTAGAATCCCAAAGGATCACCATTAAATTTGGCACAGAACTCTAGAAAAGTCAAGTCCCACACCCATGTGATAACTTTTCTAGAGATCTATGCCAAATTTAATGGTGATCCTTTGGGGTCCTACACACATGGGTGAGGGAGGGTTTCATACGATCATTACTCATAAAATAATAGATAAAAGTTTCATAAGAAGCCCGTGTTGGCTCTTCAAAATCATATGATGAAAACAAAACAGACTTGCATTAGAAAAACGAAGGAACATGCTACTTTAATGCCTGAAAAAATTAGCAGTGAACCAGTAGCAACACAATCATGTACTGAGCAATGCATGCATCCATATTGCATTGATATCTTCCTTGCATGAACTTTATGTACATGTGAACGTGTATGGTATATTATGTAAGCTTCTAGTCGTTAACGCTCCTCTCAGATCCTTGGGAGAAGTTTCTTCAGTTAAGAATATTTTCAGCCAAATTTGAACGTGAGCATGGAGATTCAAGGAAGTTATTCAACATTGTGTTCCCAGTATCATTACTGAATAATTTATTCGTTAATGTTATTAACGGTTATCTCATATCCTTCTTCTTCCACACAGATTCCTTATTTTGCAAAATGAGTCCTATTTTTTTTTTTTGATAGGATAAAAAAATGAGTAAATCACACTAACCTCATTTTGATAATAAAATGAGTCCTATTAAACAAAAGAAAATGAGTAAATCACACTAACCTCACAAGCAGAATTCTCAAATGTAATGTTCTCAGCTATAAAATCCTCCCCTTCAATTATGACGGAACCACATGCAAAGGTTCCGGTTCCAATGACACGAGAAGCCTACAAGGTCAGAAGACACAGAAATCATAATTACATCCAGAAGAATAAGAGTTCAAACCGGTGTTTGCAAACTCAGTGAGCCCAGTTTGGATGTGCCTGAGTCACTCAAAAGCGACACCCTTCCTACTCTGGATTGCCCAGATTTTGAGATCCCATTCTGTCATAGTCCTCAAAAAATAAAGCAAATAGTCTTCAAAAAATGGTACTGTCTAAGACGAGTTGCAAGTCAGACTTGGCCGTGTATCAGGTTCTTTAAAACACTGGTTCAAACTACATCCATGCCTGCTTCCATAAGAGCATTAACCAAATGAAAGATGTCATCAGTAGGGGTACGAATGCACATATTGATTTGAGTGCATAACCAGAGCTAAGAGAGCATTAGAATTCAAAGTTAGTGGATTCAGCAACTCGTATGTGATTTTCAGCACGAACGTGAAATCCAACACTGATCCAATCTAAATTTTTTTGTTTCTTGATAGCTAAACCAATCTGAGGATTTACTTTCTAGTCTTTGGCCTTCCATTTAACTTTTGGAAAATGAAGAAGAAGATGAGGGTAAGGAGGAAGGTAGTATTGAAAAACCTACGGTGGTGAATGCACAACTCATAAGTCTGCCCATATACTTGGCCCTTGGCCCAATGAGGCTCAATTAGCATTGATAGTTGCAAGATCAATTGGTTCAACAAATCTCTCAATCCACTTGTTTATTCGAGATCAAATGGGAGGTAAGATTTTAATATATGAGAGGCATAGAGTCTCGGACCTGGACCTGGACGTGGACCTGGGTAGGGTTTAGGGTAAGCCGGACCTAAAAAAAAAAAGCAAAGGGAAGAAGAAAGAAAGGTGGACCTGGTGATGGCGGATGTTGGTGGCGGTGTTGTCCCAGGTGAGGATGGTGTGCTCAGGGGAGAAGCCCCGCAGAGTGATGAGGTTTTTGGTCTTGGCCACGTAAAGGGGCTGCTTGTACACACCGGGCATCACATTGATCACAATCCTCTGCTTGTTGCAAAGGGGAACTACCGCGTCAATGGCCTCCTGAACGCTGCCAAAATCTCCGCTCCCATCACTCGCAACCTTCCACTCCTTCCTCAACATCCTCTCTGTTGATCGAATAATATCTGCCTCGCCCCTCCTCTCCCCTCCCCTCCCCTCCCCTCTCCTCTCCCACTTCAAACTTCACTCAGCTGCTTTTAGACGCGACGAGACGAGACGCGACGCGACGCGCATCGCATGCACCTAAGAATTTCCATCGCCCCTCGCTCTAATATTTTTCCAATACTCACTGCCCTGCCCCGCCCCGTCCTGTCCTGTGCTGTGGAAGTAGGGTCGAGATGGGCCAATCGACGGCCCGTTTCTAACCCGGATATATGTGAAGTCAACCACCACCAAAAAAAAAAAACAACCGATTTTTTTTTTTTATCGGCATAATAAATCAATGCAGAATCGCCCATTCCAATTCGAAAATTCATCACCGGTTTCTTGCCAAAGAAAGAAAAATGTGCAATAAAAAAAAAAAAATTTATTATGATAATGTGCAATAAAAAAAAGAAATTTTATTATGATAAAATGGCAATCCAAACCGTTTGTTTTTTAAAAAAATTATTTAATACAGGCTAAACTTCATTTCTACCTCTACTGTTAAGAAAGGGTAAAGCAAGACGGATACAAAGCAAGTGTTCCATCTAAAAGTAATGGAAACCATACGTTCAAATGTTTTTTTATTAAAATTATTATTTTTAGTTTTTAAAACTTATTTACTTTTTTCATATTCATGATTAGAGATTACATGCCTCAGGAAACTAAGTCTTAAAATCTATCTCAAAAAAGATATTAAAAGGAGATCCGTTTTTTAAATTAGAAACATAAATAAAAGGAAGGGCGCGTAATAAATTTGGACGGTGTAGGATTAGCAATCCCGCCCAAATCAGGGCGATCAGATGTTCGGAGCCAACCCCCACATGCATGCCCCTTGATAATAATAAATCCCTCAATTATTCGGGATCTCTCCATTTGCATTTGCAGAAGCAGCAAGGAAGCAAGCAGAGGAAAAAGAAAGAATGGCTGAGGACCAAGCGGATGACTTCGATGAGTTCGATCCCACCCCATACGGCGGTGGATTCGACCTCATCCTCACTTTTGGTCGACCCATCCCACCCTCTGATGACACCTGCTACCGTCTCTCGTCATCATCTCCATCTCCATCTGATTTCTCATACCCAACCCCTTCAGATGCCACCCCATACTCCTCCAACATCGAATACCCCTCCTACTCTTCTCCCCCACATGAACATGAACAAGAAGAGGAGGACCAATCCTCCTATGGCTACCAACGCCCCAAGCCTCCCCCTGAGGAAGGATATGGCTATGGTGGAAGGCCAGGTGGCTACGGGTATGAGAGGCCCAAACCCCGGCCTGCTGAGTATGAGGGTGGGGGTTTCCAGCCTGATCTGCCCGATCCCCACCGTCCCGGAAACTGGCCTCCACCAAGACGTGATGATGAGGGTTATGATGGGATGAAGCGACCTGAAAGATATGGCCGCAGTGAGGAGGAGGAGGGATATGGAGACCGGAGGCCCAGCTATGAGCCACCGCCTCCTTCTTACGAGAGACCAAGCTATGATTTCAAAAGGACCAGCTATGAGACACCGCCTCCCTCTTACGAGAGGCCAAGCTCTGAGAATCCCCCTGATTACGAAAGGCCCAGCTATGAGACCCCTCCTGCTTTTGAAAAGCCCAGCTATGAGTCTCCTTCTTATGAGAGGCCAAGCTACCGGCAAGAGGAGTATGAGCCTCCCCGGAGGTACCAGAATCCGAGCACTTTTGTGGGAGAAGGGGAAGGCTACGCCCGCCCGAAATATGTGAGTCTATTTCCCACTACTACTGCCTGATCCATTTCTATTTTTTCCCCTTTTTCTTATCTTTGATCCATTTATTTTCCATGATTCTCATTTTGTTATGCATCCAATTCCCCCAGATCTTTATTTATTTACTAGTGATTCAATTTGTTGTTGCTTATGAGATCAGATCTGATTTCAAAGAAAAGGAATAGATGATGCATAAATTCCCCCACTGATATACATTTTTTAACTTATGTTGTGCATGGTTTTAGATCATTCACTTAGATGTGGCTTGAGCAAATTGCAGCACACTGGGAAAGACCGGAGTTCTGTTCTCATAGTATTACTTAAGATGGAGATCTATGCCCTCTGCGTGTGTTTCCTTAGCTTTAGATATTGTGACGTGTGAATGCCTTCTGAGCTTGATTATTTAAAAGCAATTATCGAAATTGCAGACTCTAATTTAAAAAGTCCCAAAGGATTGATGCCATTTCTGAACTGATGCCGTGCTTTGCTTGGACAAATCTATTGCTGAGATCCTGTTTAGATTAGCCAGTACTTTCTGTGGTTTAAATGTGATGCATTGCAACTTAATCGTGACATAGTTCATGCTTTGGATAATGAAAACCATTCAGAAAAATTATTACTTCTTTGTGAGAGGCTTTTGGAATTTAGCTCCAAGCACGATCCACCCGGAATACAATCTGCATGGCACAAATTGGGAAGCAGTGGGGATACTTCTCATCAAATGGGCTTCAAAGATTAACAGAGACAGAGGTCAACGTGCTTGAGGAGTATATTTGACTTCTCCAAGCGTCCTTTGATAGACTACCTTGATCTTCTTTAAGCATCATCACCTCTTAGTGGATGAGGGGTTCCTTTTTCATTGTATTCTTCCTTCTACATACTCACATACATAAATGATTTAATGTTACTTGTAAAAGAAAAAGGATGTCGGCATTTCTACGTTCTGGGGCATAAGCCATTCTAGATATAAATAGTGAGCTGCAATATGTTTATGAGCAGCAAATGGGATTATTTTTATAATGGCAAGTGACAGCACATGGTCAACATGATGGGAGAAAAAAAGGAAATGAAGAAATTGGATCGGCATGTAAACTTTAAGCTAGGCGGTTGCAAACCTTACAATTAGAACATATGCTGTTACTGTTTTTGTGTGATTCAAGAGACTGAGTATGATCTGGGGATAATGAAACCTAGTGTCGTGAGATTATGAAAAACCTATTGCAGATAAACTTTCATGTGGTTAAGAAGAATAGAGGGAAGTTTAATCTTTTGCTTAGTGAGAGTAGCATCAAAGAGTTTCAACTATGCCAAATATTGAAACTAAAATTTGGGAAAGAAACTCCATTTTCTGATAGGTTGCTGCAAAAGAGTTATGAGTGCTTGGTTCCAGGGTTTGCATGAGCAAATCCACTCCAAGGTGTTGTGAAAACTGTGTGTGGAAATTTCAGTCTCGATGGGTTTCAGATTCGTTGATTCTTGAGGTTGACGTACTTGCTTTCTATGTGGTGTACTCTTGGTTAGACTCAATTTTCTTGTAACTGATTGTTTGTAATGATGTCTTTAATGCTTGTTTCTCTTGAAACTATGAGAAGTTCATAAAAGGAACTCCTGCGTTGTAAATTTTAGAAACGAAGAACGAGAAGTCTTTTTTTAAAAAAGATTGAAAGGGTTTTTTTGAGAATGTTAATTGTATTAAAAGTAATAAGTATAATAAAAGATTGTAGGCAAATCCACTCCAAGGTGTTGTGAAAACTGTGTGTGGAAATTTCAGTCTCAATAGGTTTCAGATTCGTTGATTCTTGAGGTTGATGTACTTGTTTTCTGTCTGGTGTTTTCTTGGTTAGACTCAATTTTCTTGTAACTGATTGTTTTGTAATGATGTCTTTAATGCTTGTTTCTCTTGAAACTATGAGAAGTTCAGAAAAGGAACTCCTGCGTTGTAAATTTTAGAAACCAAGAATGAGAAGTCTTTTTTTAAAAAAGATTGAAAGGGTTTATTTGAGAATGTTAATTGTATTAAAAGTAATAAGTATAGGCAACTCACACAGTGGGAGCCCTGTACAGAAACCCTCAAAGGGCCCAAAAAGTGCTCTACATCAAAAAAGGTAAAAAAGCTAGATACAACATGGGGACTAACAGCTCAAAAGTTGTCAAAAATCCCCTGAGAACTATCATGTGCTGCTCCCTCCCTAGTGAGGATGTCGGTTGCTGAGTTGGCCTCCATCCAGATAAGCGTCCATGAGATGTGCATAGACCTGCATATGCGTGAGATCTCATAAAAAATAGGCATTGGTCTCCATGGGCAAATGGAGGATCCAGAGGCCTAGGCAATGACGTTTATGGAATCGCCCTCGACCACCAGATGGGAACCCCGGCTAGGGTTGAAATTCTAAAGCCCTTGAGGAAGAACAAAGGCCTCCGCGGTATTAGAGTCGGTGTGGCCAATGAAGTGCGACAAGGAGAAGAGGGTGCTTCCGTCGTTGGCTTTGAAGATGCCTCCAATACCCGAAGGGCCTGGATTGCCTAGAGAGCAGCCATTGAAATTGAGTTTGGATTGGCCCATATCGGGTGGTCTCCAAAGGGACGCATGAGGGATTCTGGAGGGCCCTAAATTCAAGAGCGCCTGCCAAACTAGGTAGAAATCTGTGAAAGAGAAGACCCTGAAAGAGGTATGGTATTTGGCCCAGAAAGTGACAAGAGATCTAACCTTGTCCAATAAGGTTTTGATTGCTACCTTCTCCCCATGAAAGATCCTACTGTTTCTCTCAATCCAAATGACCCACAGAATGGCCGCCTTTGATGCCTGCCAGAGGATTAATTCGGACTTGGACCAAAGGCGGGGAATGGGAAACAGTGAAGAGACGGGGTACCAATCTAGGGGTCCCCACAACCAATTGAAAAGTTGGAGGATAAATCCCCAAAGAGACCTGGCCAAATCACAGTGTAGGAAAAAGTGGGCTTTCATTTCTTCATCCTAAGTACAAATCTGCACCTTTTTTTTTTTTTGATAAACACAAATCTGCACCAGTTGGGCAATGGAAGGCCTCTTCTTTGTAGTTGATCGACTGCTAGGGCTCGCTCGGAGAGGGCTATCCAAATAAAGACTTGGATCTTAGGTGGGATGAAAGATAACCATACTTTGGCCACTATGGCTGGGGGGGCAGCCTGAAAAGTGTGGGGCGAGGTCATCTTTCAGTAAAAGGACGAAGCCAAGAAAGTTCCTGAGAGTGCAGGTGCCTAGATAATATTTTGTCAGCACCATGTGATCAGAGGAAAACCAAGTGCATGAGGGAAGACATAGCTGAGAATTCCCCCACCTCATGGTCCACTAGGGGCCTCTGAAGATCTGGAATCCAGGTTCTGATGGAATTGAGGACTCAAAAAGGTTGGCAATTGTTGCCTGGTTATGACGGGCTAAGAGGTTGGGGACCTGCTCCCTCAGGGGCGAATGACCAACCAAATGTCGGACCAAAATAGAATTCGGGTGCCTTCCCAAGGTCAGAAGCCGACGTTCTTGAAATGGCTGTGGGTGTGAAGGAGGGGTCTCCAAAAACTAGAGGCTCTGCTACTCTCCTCCTATTGAGAAGCCAAGCATCGGCTTCGCAGCAGTACTTGTGTGAGGTCACGTATTTCCAGAGGTGATTCTCTGAATGAATGAAAGAGTTAATCACAGGACGGAAAATCTAGATAGGCATCACTCAACAACATGGATTTACGATATTCCCAGGCATTGTCTTCTCATTTTTCATAGGGCTGCATTCTTTCATTTGTGTTGTCTTAGGATTTTTTTGTTATTGTTTATTCCTGTGTTTATATCGTATTGTTTGCTCATGAATATGTGATTCAAGTGTGATTATCTGTCAAGAATGCACTCTTGAGCTTCTTTCTAAAAGAAAGTGGATTCTGAAGGAGGAGAATAGCTAACACTATTCATAAACAAGGGCCTGTTCCCCTTATGTAGGGTTGTGCTGCTGGTACTCTTTGTCGCATTGTTTTTTTTAGTTTGATTATTAGGTCTCACTCAACAGCATGGATTTGTGATACTCCCAGGCATTGTCTTCTCATTTTTTGTGGGGCTGCATTCTTTCAGTTGTGTTCTCTTAGGATTTTTTTGTTATTGTTTATTCTTGGGTTTATATCGTTTTGTTTGCTCATGAATATGTCTGTCAAGAATGCACTCTTGAGCTTCTTTCTAAAAGAGAGTGGATTCTGAAGGAGGAGAATAGCTAACACTATTTCATAAACAAGGGTCTGTTCCCCTTATGTTAGGGTTGTGCTGCTGGTACTACTTGTCGCATTGTTTTCTTTAGTTTAGGATTTAGGTCCCCGTCTCTAATGGCTGTATGCAAGATTGATGTATACTAAAAATGACCGTGAGCTCTTGAATATGACTAAGTTAATTATGAGCACCTCACAGGGAGATGATGACTCTGATGATGAAGAAAAGAAGCGTCGCTATGGCCGCCATCACCACCACCGCAAGCACTCAAATGAATATGATGAAGAGTAAATGAATGGACTGCATCCTTGAAGTGGATGTCCCTGTGTGACTAGGACTCTAGGTATAATGTATTTTCATAATCCCAGGTTTGCTAGACTCTGGGTAGAATGTATTTTCATAATCCCAGGCTTGCTGCATGGGTATGTAGTGTGTGCGATTTCAGACTGTTTTTAAGTCATATGCTATTATGATGAGGTGAAGACATTGCTTGAACTATGTTGCTTTGAATAAGACACTGAATAATGTCATATCATGCTTGAAAGAGCTTGCTTTTAAAGTTGGATTGTGCTTCCTTTCTAATGATGTTCTTGTTGAGGTACCAATGAATCACGAGGGAGTATCAAATGAGTTGCAAGCTCATTGGATATTTACTCATCTCTAGTATTATAGGAGGCCAAGACATTGTTTTCCGCCCAAGTTAGTTATGGCTATCAACATTCTTAAAGACCGAGAGGCTTTAGTCTTCACAAATGTCATATGTAAGATCGATGAAAAGTCCTCTCTGTTGTAGGACTCCCAAATAAACATCTTTTGTGTTTTTCAAATAACTGCAATACGATTATGCAGGGGTTTAAAAAATCGGTGACCTGGATCAAAACAGGGAATTGCCGGTTCCCCTTGAGAACTAGCCAGTCCGTACCAGTTCCATATTTTTAAATTTTTTTAATCATTGAACCGATAGGTTTTGGTTGAAACACCCAGAATTGGCATCATTAATCTTTTATTTTTTAAAAACTTTTTTTGGATTGCCGATCAATCGAACTGGATCAAAAATCTAGAGCGGCGATCTGGGGTGTTTTAAAACCTTGTGAATGTATAAGTAATGAATAAAATTATGATATGGGGTGTTTTAAAACCTTGTGAATGATGCGTAAGTAATGAATAAAACTATTTACTTTTGGTATCAGAAGGTCACAATCTATTATTTGAAATCTGGCGGTGGAAATGTGTTATTGATTGTGTTTAAAAGTCCAAAGTAACTTTTTTCAAAAGGTGTGACAAAACTTAATCTATCAAATTTTGGATACAATAACCTCCTTGTACCATCAAAAGTGAATAGCATTGTAGTAGACTGATTAGGTACAAAGTTCAAAATAGAATTTTTAAAATGTTGTAACACTTTAATCTATCAAATTTCGAATAAAAACCAAAAGGGAATGGTATTGTAGTACACTATCCCTTACCCATATTGGATAAAAACCAAAAGGTAATGGTATTGTAGTACACTATCCCTTATGCATATTGAAATTATTCGTGCAATTAACAAATCTATATCATGCTTATTTTATAATTCTCCCAAACCAAAATCGTTTGCATTGCAATACGATTATGCATATACAAATGATTCTTACGATTAAGAAAGCAATATGATGCTCATTTTACAAATTGTAAATAACAATCAGGTTTTACCCATTCTGTGATGAAAAAATACTCAAAACTATTCAAGCAGGATGGAAGCGTTTGATATAATTTTAAAGGGACACAGTTTCTATGAGTCCGTGTAGAAAAGAGTCACCTTTTAAAAATCTATTTTTGAGATGGATTTTTTTACCTAATTTTTAAAGACATGTAATCTCTGACATGGAGATCATGAATATGAAAAAATAAATAAATTTTGAAAATTAAAAATAACAATGTTATTAAGAAAACATTTGTACCATTAATTTCTATTGTTTTTAGATGGATCACCTATTTGCATCCATCTTTAAAATGGATATCACAAATGCAGTCCCTGCCACATGAAATAATTTTTCATTTTAAAATACCTATTAGCATACACTTGATCATGAATTAGAATAGTTACGATAGGGGAAAATGTTAAATAATTGACAAATTGGGTGTAATATGATAAGTTTCCCCTAATAATATAATTAAAATGATATTTTATTCATTAAACTTGAGTGTCTGATCTCTAAAAAGCAAAGAGAGGCAGGGCACTTTTGACATAATGGGAAAGAGAGACGTGGAAACATGGAAACACATGCATCAAAGAAAGAAACAGAGACGCAGAGCATTGGATTTTTGCGAATGCGCTAGAGAGAGGCTGAGAATTTAACAGGTTCTCACTATATCTGTCCCTCCTAATTAATCTTCGCGATAGCATTTGCACCATTGCCATGCCGTCCTTCTTTGTAACATGTTTATTTATGTTTTTAATCATTTTAGCAAAGATTGAAAAGTATTTTGGTTACGAATACTTATTTTTATATTTTTTCAACTCTTTTTTGGAAAATTTTGCAAATTCCCATGCTCATAAACTCATTTTTTAAAATCTATACTTTAGCTATTTTTTAACCACAATTAGTTGTGTTTTGTTAAATTTTAATTTGAACAAATTTTCCTGGTTTTTTTTCATATATATATAGGTGCTATCGTACTCGGCCCTACTAGGACAGAGTTACTTAGACTCAGACGAGTAATCGGCTGGAGCATTGGCCGAGTAGTCGGTCCGAGACTTTTCCAACACTGATATTTTTCTATAAGAGGTAGGTGGACCGATTCTTCCAACACTGATATTTTCCCAAATCAGGCACCCGAATACCTTTTGCTTTTCGTGAGAAATTTCCATTGCAATGGCACAACTGCTCCTAATTCATCAGATGTACAAGCTATGCAGTGGATGAGCCATACTGAAAATTACTCGCGTTGTTCTCTGTATCCATAAAAGAATTTTAAAGTGAATGTCACCTAAGAAACAGGGTTATTCTCGCTCACCAATAGTCGTTGCATGAACAGAAGCCGGTCTTGAAATGATGGAAACGATTCCTATCCCTTATGCTCATCTCCCTGTCAAAAGTTTTCGAAATGATCTTTGCCATAGTGTGGCAATCCCTGCATATACGAAGGTTCTTCACGATCCTTATTGCCATCCCCCTGGGCACCCTGAGCAACCCAAAGGCCACGGCCAGTTTTTCGCTGTGAAGCCACAACAGCTCCTCCCTCTCTTCTCCATCCAACACATCCAACAGCATCTCAGATGAGTCCGGTACATACCCCACAAACTTTGCCCGCCTCCTCATCTCTTCGACCATCTCATAAATGGCATCTGCATGCTTATGAGACCGATCCCCCATTGTGAACTCATGCACCACCCCCTTCACTTCTATCCAGCTGCACCCTGCAGGCTTCTTAATCCCCCTCTCTTTCATCTCTTCCCTCACTCTCGTAGCATCGCCCCACCTCTGACCAAGAGCATAAATATTTGACAAGAGCACCATATAACCTGCATTGCCAGGATCAAGCTCAAGGAGATGACCCACCACACGCATGGCAAGCTCGAGGTCCTTGTGAATCCTGCAACGTGTGAGCAAAGCACCCCAGACCACATCATTGGGCTCCATTGGCATGCTCTCTATGAGGCGATACGCTTCATCCAGGTGACCTGCCCGCCCAAGCAGATCAACCATGCATCCATAGTGTTCAACCCTCGGCTCAATGCTATATAGAGGGGACATGCACTTAAAGTACTTCCGACCCATGTCGACCCAACCGGCATGAGCGCATGCATACAGAATGCCAATGAAGGTTATATGATCAGGTTTGAACCCATGCTTTTCCATCCCCTGAAAAATGGTGACGGCTTCCCCAACAAGCCCGTGAATTGCATACCCATTGATCATGGTGGTCCAAGACACAGGGGTCCTCGCCTGCATCTCTTCAAAAACAAGACGCGCTCTCTCAATGACACCACACTTTGCATACATGTGTATGAGGGCATTGTCTAGAGATACCAGCCTCTGAGATCCCCACCCACTCTTCCCCTTCCCGCTGATGTATGCATCGATCCACTTCCCCAAGTCCAGAGCACCCAGCTCTGCACATGCAGAGAGCACGCTCACCATGACGACCTGATCTGCTTCTATATGGGCATGCTGCATTTGGCGGAACAGCGCAAGGGCTTGCCTAGAGTGACCTGTTTGTGAGCAACCAGCAATCATGGTGGTCCAAGACACCACGTTTCTCTCGGGCATCTCATCAAACAGCCTCCATGCTTCATCTAAACCACCCGACCTCGCATAAGCAGCAAGCATTGCATTCCACGACACCACATTTCTCTCTAGCATCCCATCGAAGATGTGGCGTGCATCTTCTAATTCGCCACCAGTTGCATACATATTAATAAGATTTGTTTGCACAAAGACACTACTCGATGCCAAGCCATTGTGGATGACCCTTGCGTGTATCTCCTGGCCCAGTCCTGCTTCCATTGAGAATGCACAAGCCTTGAGGAGGAAAGAATAGGTGAAGCTGTCAGGCTGGGCTTCCAATTCCCGCATACGGTCGAAGAGTGAGAGGGACATGCCAATGTTGCCGATTAGGGCAAAGCCTCTGATGATATGGTTCCAGATTGGAAGGGTGGGTTGGTGGATCATGTTGAAAGCTCGGTAAGCGTAGGCCAAGTTCCCCGAGGAAGAGGTCGAGCAAAAGGACACAAGCTTGGCGAGGAGGAATTTCTTATGTGAGAAACCATTTGTTATAATCTGGGCATGGATCTCCTGAAGCTCTCTCATTGAGTTACATTTTTCTAACAAAAAGAAAATATGTTGTTGTAATAGCCTCATGGACATCGAGGAGGGAGAAGCAAAGGCCATCATCATGCAAAATCAAAAACTCTGCCTACTCGGTTGTTTCAATCCAACTGCATCCTGGAGTCTTTTTGGCTCCTCGGTGTCTCATATACTCCCTCGCTTCTGTGGCCTCTGAGCTCTTCCCCGCAGCCGCATATATGTTGGAGAGGAGGACGTAGTACCCACCTTCGTCTGGCTTCAATTCCAGCAACCTTTGCACCACACGCTCTCCCATGCCGACGTCCCCATGTATCCTACAGGCACCGAGCAATGCACCCCACACTACATCGTTGCAGGGAATGGGCATGCACTCTATCATCTCATATGCCTCTTCCAACTTTCCGGCCCGGCCTAGCATGTCCACCATGCACCCATAGTGCTCTATGCAAGCCTCTATATCCTCCTTTCTCATCCTTTCCCACACCTTCTGCCCCTCTTCCACCCACCCCATGTGAGCGCAAGCACTCAGGACTGCCAAATATGTCACCCCATCAGGGCGCATTCCAGACTTCCCTTCCATCTTACTAAACAACTGTAGAGCCTCCTCTCCACATCCATGGATTGCAAGCGCATTAATGGTTGAATTCCATGTCAAGAGGCTCCTCCGAGGCATCACATCGAATACCTGTTTGGCGCTGTGGATGCAGCCGCATTTGGCATACATGTCAATGAGGGCGTTACAGAGAGAGATCATCCACCAGAACCCTTTCTCATTGATGTAGCTGTGAATACTCGAACCGAGCTCGAGGTCCCCCAACTGAGCACAGGCAGAGATAACACTGATCAAAGTCACCTCGTCTGGTTTCACGCCTGCGACCTGCATCTGCTGGAACAACTCAAGGGCCTCTTTGGGCTGCTTGTTCTGGGCGTAGCCGGCTATTAGAGCTGTCCACGAGACCACATCTCTCTCGGGCATTTCAAGGAACAACTCCTTTGCTGAATCAAGGTCCCTGTTCCTTACGTAGCCCACCACTAAAGACGACCACGAGACAACATCTCGTCGGGTCACTTCATTGAAAACTTGGCGAGCACAGTCCAGATAGCCAGATACAGAGTAGAAGTGGATCAAGGGGTTCTGCACGAAGAGGTGCAAATGGAATCCTTGGGTCAAGGCCTGAGCATGAATGACCTCCCCTTCAACTGCTGAGACGGTTGCCCTCCTAGAGCAGGCCTTGATAAGGAAATTGAATGTGAAACCGTCGGGCGCAACTGATCTCCTCCTCATCAACCTGAAGAGCATAATTGTTTCTTGTGGGGTGGTGCTCTTTGCATAGCCTCTGATGATGGTGTTCCAGAAGAAGAGGTTAGGTGCCTGGCCAATGAACTCGAACATGAGGCGTGCGTGACTGAGGTTGCCCGAGGGCGAGACTGCAGCGAACCTGAGCATCTTGGCGAGTACAAGGTTGCTGCGTAACAGGACAGGCCTCCGGAAGACAAAGGCATGGATTTGTTTGAGGTGGCACATGCTGGTGCATCGAGTTGATACGAGGGAAACGATGGAGGCCTCAAGTTTACGCAGGCTCCCCATTGCTTGCTGCTGTTTCTCTCAATTATAACAGGCTTCACAATTGCGTAACGAGGTTCAGAATTGTCGTATTTTGACCCACCTCATTGCTGTCATGAAACCGATACTATTCCATTTCATTAGAAGAATTGGATGCTGCTCCACCATAACTCCTACCTGTCACATATCCTGCTTTGTCCTCTGCCACAGCGGCCATAACAATCAACAGGAAAGGCCTCGTAATAATCCTATCATCAACCCCTATTATAACTCCGTCGATTACGATCAGGCTCAGCTTCATCAGAGAAGACCCATAGAAAAGGGACTCGCGACACCTTCTTGCTCCGACGCCTCCTCAAGTCCTGCTGCACAGTGAAAGAAGGTAGGCAGATACATGGGCATATCATCAGGCTAGGTTTTAAACAACTCATCTTCCTCCAAACTGCTCTCATAGCCATGTACTCATCGTCTAGCTGCAGCCTAGTGACCGATGCGCATGCAGTGTTTGATGAGATGAAACACAGAAATTTTGTTGCTTGGAGTGCCCTGATCACAGGTTACGTGCGCAATGGGAAGCCCAACAAGGCCCTCAAGCTCTTCCGGGAGATGCAGGAGGAGGGCTTAGAGCCTGATCAAGTCACGTTGGCCATTGCACTCTCTGCATGCGCTGATCTTGGTGCATTACAGACAGGCGAATGGATCCATGCTTATGCATTAAAGAACAATATCACACCTGATCTCTGCCTCGTGAACGCACTCATAAACATGTATGGAAAGTGCAGCAAAGTCGAGATTGCCCGGCACTTGTTTGACAACCTCGCCTACAGGGACATCACCTCATGGACCTCCATGATTGCCGCCCATGCCTTGCATGGAGAAGCTTTGAAGGCCCTGGGGCTCTTTGGAGAGATGGAGGGCGAAAACATCAAACCCAATGAAGTCACCTTCGTGGGCATATTAACAGCTTGCAGTCATGCAGGGCTCGTAGAGCGTGGGAGACAGCTCTTTGAGAGCATGCACAAGGAATATGGGATCATGCCTAAAATGTCACACTATGGGTGCATGGTCGACCTGTTGTGTCGAGCAGGCCGACTCACGGATGCCTACGGCTTCATCCAGTGCATGCCATTCCCACCCAATGCAGTGGTGTGGCGCACCTTGCTCAGTGCATGCAGCCTTCACGGAGACATGGAGCTGGGGGCAATTGCAAGGGATTATTTGGCAGAGCTGGAGCCGGGGCATGTGGGCGACGATGTGGTCTTATCCAACATGCATGCTGCAGTGGGTCAGTGGGATGAGAAGGCAGCCGTGAGGAAGAGAATAAAGAGTAGAGGGAGACGGAGGCTTCCTGGATGCAGTTTGATTCAAGTAGAAGGCACAGTTAATGAGTTTGTTATCGCAGACAATAAACACCCTCTCTCTGAGGAGATATATGAGGTCCTCAAGGGGATGTCTCAAAATTTAGCATCGTCAGACTATCTATGTTGATGATGCACAATGAGGGCATCCCCTTTTCTTTACTGATCCTTCTTCAGATTGTATTTTAGTGTACCTAATAATTAATTGAATGGAGCCAACTGAAAATGGACTTCTTCATGTAAAGCATTATCACCGGCAGAGATGGAGTCAAAAAGTGTATTGACAATTCTCCCTTCTATTTCTTTTTTTTTTCCTTGTTTTGGAAGGGAGGGGAAGGACCCATCTTGTGGGCTGCGTGATTCCCATTTGGGACTCTTTAAGATTCAATACAAGCTAACCTTTCATTCAAAATTCTTACCATTCAATTACTAATATTCCTTTTGGAAAAGAACTATTTCGACGTGCATCGTGTGAATCATAAATTTAATACAAAGTCAACAGTTAAAAAAAAAAAAAAAAAATTCACATGTGCATCAATGTTCTATTGGTAAATCTATGCTAATTCTTAGGCATGTCGATTTTCATATCATAATGCTTTGTCAATCCAACCAAAGTTTGATCCAAGCATAGGGATCCGATTGCTATAGCAGAATGGGGGGCAAACCAGCCCGCTCCCACACGCATGGATGTGGCATTTAGTGCATGACATTCATCTCATCCATTGTACAAATATAGGCGCTCAGGCAATGTAGATTTTCCAATGCAGTCAATGCCTCGATGGTGGGCCGTATAACATCGTGCTGCTGGCTTATGAATTTCAGACCCGAGATCAAAGGCAAAAGCAAAAGTATTATATTTCAAATTTAAATGATAGGCAGTGAATACATTAACTATATTCCTCATCAAAGCTAAACAAACTTTTGATTAGAGGAATTCTATTGACTATAAGTCCAGTAATCTCAGAAAGTTGCATCTGATTAAGAAAAAATATCATCTTCTCTGTAGATCTAGAGAAGCTTCTTCCTCTCGAAGAATGTCTTCAAATGCCATAGCTGCAGCCCTGCCACCGATAAGCAGATTACCAGAGATAGGAAACTCAACCAGGCCATCCTGGAGTTCGTTGTTATGTTCAGCATGTGCATCTCTTCCTCCCTGGAACGCAGGAAACCAAAAAACCTATTAATACCCATTAAATATAAACAAAGATAGACATAGCCTCAAGTGCACCACTTGGAGCATCAGGATCAAGTTGGATCAGGAGAGGGGGAAAACAATTTGCTTTAGATGGAACTGTTGATGGTACCTCTCTCGCAAAAAATACATCTCTTCATGGATAGATTTAATTGTGTCCTCCAACTTTTTCAGCTCCAGCTCCATGACCTGGGAATGGAAAATCACATTAAGAACAGCTCCTTCACATTAATATCTTTCTTTAATAAACAGTGGAAAAAATAAGCAACTATAGAGATGTACACACGCAACAGTATACAAAATCAGCATGTCACATAAGGAACTTTATTATTACTCCTAAATACTTTAAACGATAACTCCACCACTCTTCTCATCAACATCAGTGTCAGGGTTTACTTTTTTTTTTTCTCGTTTTTTCCTGAAGGTTCAGGGTTCATGTTGTTATGACAACAGGTATCATTTGCACGAGGAATGAGACCAGCCACATTATAGGCAACGACTTGCATGCCATCATTAAAGATACATAAAAGAACTTTCGGCAGAAGAATCGAGAGATTAAGTGGATAAATGACAATGTTTCTTCCTGATTCCAGAAAACCAATCAAATAGGTGAGCTCAGAATGTCATTAGCAGTCGAGGAAGTTCATTCAGGAACCATGAAACCTTACCGGGTAAAGCAGACATCAACTACAGAAAACACTGAGACACTCCTCCAAACCCCTCCACTATACCTCCTCCGCCCCTCCCCTCCCCCTACTCTACCACAATCCCTCGTTCAAACTTCCTTCTCCCCCATGCTCCAGACTTCCTCTGGCCCAAGCCTTTCTCTGCCCTATTTCGTATCAGCCCTCAAACAGCTCTCCTAGCCCACTCTCTCCTCACCCGCCACCCTCCCCCGCTGCTTCACCATCCAGTAACAAGATTACCCAGAACCTCATCTTTCTAGATCACCCTCAGATTAGCGGGCAGAAGACCAAGTTACGCTCCTCTCTAGTTAGGTGTTTCTTTCCTTAAAGAGATGACATGCGAGGTATCAAAAAATGGGCCAAGACTTCTGGAAGGAGCCACATCTTGGGTGCAGAAAACTCTCAGATGGATCCCACACCTATTCTCGTTCTCCTCGGAGCATAGTGCTCACAGGGCCCCCCCAATCAGTCCCCCCCCTCCCCTTCCTTCCCCCCTGTCCTTCAGAGGCACCTCCCTAACCCTAGCTGCTTGGTCCCTGCTCTTGGGTGCACTACATGTATGGCACCTGCACACCTTCAAATCGATCCAAAACCACCTCGGAAATTTTTTGTCTGTGCATTGGAAATCCAAGGAACAGCTCCCATTGGCTCCATCAGACTTCTCATTGAAACGCTCGACCCTCATTCCATCCCTCCCATACTTTGGCTTTCCATAGATGGACTCCTTTACTGTGTTCAAACTTCCTGGGTGACTGCTTCCCGTTTTCCCCTGATCACGTCCAAGGAGGGGAGAAATCCCCCTCAGACGCCCAAGGTGCCTGGACCAGAGTCACTCACAGAAGACAGAGGCTCCCCCATCACAACCATAGATCTCAGCATCTTGCCATCATGCTGCCCTTGGCAACCAATCAACCCAACCGTGAAGGCTCGACCATCACCTGCTAGCCCTCATCCGACCGTCCAAAACAGGGCACACATCACCCCTAACCCTCCTTGTGGAACCCTCCCATCCTTCCTCCATCTCTCCACACGTGTCGAACAACTTTCGAGCACATGACAACTCACCTGCCCCCTCCTCCCCACCCCCCACAACCGCCCCCAGCAAGCTCTCAGCACAGATGGGTCCTCCATGCGAAGGCCTGTACAGTAACTACGTATACACGTCCACTAGCACACACTCCCATCGCCTGACCCTCGAGACCCCCACAGGACCCATGGCTTCATCCCTCTACTCCGAGATCACCCCTCCTCATCCAACGGTGGTGAGGGCCACCCCCACCTTCCCTCTTCCTCTTCCCCCTTGATAACCTCTGCTGCTCTCTCCACCGACCTATCTCTCCCCTTTGAGCCTCCCTTCTCATCCCCCTTCCCTGTTTTCCCTTCCCCACACCCCTCGCCGTGTCTTCACTCTCCAAACCTTCCACCCGTCCCCTTTCCCAATTGGGCCTCTATCCAATTTCGGAGCTGTACACCTCACCACTACCCAGCTCCTCCCCTTCTCCCTCCTTTCTGGCTCAATCTCCTACTACCTTTTCTTCTTCCCCTGTTAGCCTGTCTTTCCCCTCCTACCCCCTCCACTGCTCCCACCTTGGTAACCACTGACCCTGCCCTTCCTATCTGGCCTATTCCAACTGTCCAGCCCTATGGCCCCTATTCCCCAAGCCCCCCTCCCAACACAAGCACCCCTTCCCTGAAAACTTCTTCCTGCCACCTCCTCTGGACTCCTTTTCGATGGATCCCAGAACTTACCCTTCCTCAACCCCAACCCTAGCTGTCCCCCCCACCCTCCCCCAACACCCCTCTCTACTTTCAGTACTCCGTGACCCCACCCCTCAATCCCCAAGTAGGATCACTCAACTTTTCATCCCCACTTTCCTCCCCTCTCTCTCTATAACAATTACCAACACCCCCCACCCCACCTAAAAAAAACCCTATTTTAATCCCTATCCCCTTACCCTCCTATTGGGTAGAGGATTGTTGCCCTCCCCAGGCTTACCTCCACCCCTTGCTCTCCCACCCTCCCCTTCCAACCCCCGCTTCTTCTTCCCTCCTTTAGCTGCCATCCCAGTTCCTTTCCCCCATCCTCCTGTTACCACATCCAATCCACCACCCTCCAACTCGTCACCACCAAACCCTTACCACTTATCCCCTATTCCAACCCTAACCATTCTCAGTTAACAGCAATCCCTCTCCCCTGAGATCAGGCTCCTTTTTCCCCTTGAGTGGATGTAGGCCTAAACGCCCGAGTAACCACCACTCAAACTCCTCACCCAGCCTAGCTCGGAGTTGACCTCTTCTTCCCCACCTTCAGTTGGCTCAAGCTTCATCAATGGTAAGGACAACACCCAAGCAGACAGTGCACAAGTGCTCAAAGTCATGGGCTCCAAATGCGACAACCAGGAGGTGGACGTCAATGTGTTCTTGAAAGCCAATGCGCACATATGCAAAGCAAGTAAGAGTAATAAAGGCATTAGAAAGTTAGCAAACCTCACCTTTGAGGTACATTACGACATAGTGAAGCCATCCCCTCCCCCTGCCTCCCTGGAAGCTCCTGCTCGCTCACTCTTCTTAGGAGATCGTCCCAGAGATCCTAACCCCTTAACCCCTCATGAAACTCCTCACCTGGAATGTCAGGGGTTTAGAGGACCCCTTAAAGGCTCCTTCACGAGACTTCTGCCAGAAGTAATCCCCCTATGTCCTTGCCCTAGTCGTAACCAAGAAACCTTATCCATCCCTCAGTGAGGTCCGCAAGGTCTGGGGCTCACAGCCATGCCAGTGGCGTGTTCTCGAGGCAGTCGGAGCATCAGGTGGCATCTGGATCATCTAGGACCCAACCACCCATTCCCTCTCTTCCTCCTTTGTGTCCAATTTCCAGGTCACAGTCGGCCTCAAAAGGGTCTCTTAAGCCTGCCCTGGAATCTCATGGCCATTTACGGCCCAATCAGAAAGTCCCAGAAGCCTGTCTTGGGAGGAACTAGATGCCATTGCGGCTTTGCCTCCTTTGTGGTGGTGTCTCAGCAGTGACATTGAAATCACAAGTTGGTCCTTTGAGAGAAACACCTTTTCTAGAGTTGCCCAAAGCATGGGCCACTTTGATTTCATTTCCAGACACCAACTTATTGATTTACCACTTGAAGGAGCAGCATTCACCTAGTGGACCAACACCTTTTCTAGAGTTGCCTAAAGCAAGGGCCACTTCGATTTCATTTCCAGACACCAACTTATTGATATACCACGTGAAGGAGCAGCATTCACCTAGTCTAACCACTCCCCTACCCCATCCCTATAAAACTCGACCGGTACCTCATTTGCCCCTGAACCCATTCTTTTGCTCTCCCTAAACCTACCTCGGACTATAAACCCATCCTTATTGACACCCAACCTATCCCTAGAGGATCTAAACATTTTCGGTTGGAATTAACTTGGCTCGATCAACCTCAACTTGGCACTCTCATCCCCACTTGGTGGGACTCTTTCTCGGCTTCAGTCTAGGGATGGGATGGCTTTCGTCTCCAACGAAAATTGCAACTCCTCAAGCACTCCCTAAAGAACTAGAGCTGCAGCCTCCCTAGAAATTTCCAGGCCCGGAAAACAGCCATCCTCCAATCCAATAGCGAGTGGGATCAAATTGAAGAAAAGTAAAACCTTAGCCTCACGGAATGCAGTGAGAGATCTCATCTCAAATGTGAATTCCAATCCATCCTCCACAAAGAAGAAATGTATCGGTTCCAACATTTTAGTGTGAAATGGCTCAAACATGGGGATCAAAACGCTGTTTTTTTCCATAAAATTGCAGAAAGAGAGAACACCATATCCCATATTAAGACTAGCAATCTGATACTCGATACGCCACACCTTGTGGAATCAGCAATCATAGACTTCTTTGAGCATCGATTCCTAGCCCCAGCCGACCTCTCCTTCCTAATCATCCCTCCTGACAAAGCTGCTTGGTTAGAACGCCCTTTCACTAAAGAAGAGATCACTCAAGCCATTAGAGACCTTGGCCAAGACCGAGCCCCGGGACCTAATGGCTACCCCAAAGCCCTCTTCAAGCAATTCTGGAATTCCCTTCACCCAGACATCCTCTCTTTCTTTCGTGAATCTCACGAAAGAGGAATAGTCCACAAAGCCATGAATGCCACCTGCATAGCCCTAGCACCTAGAGTACAGGGGGTGGACAAGCTTAAAGACTTTTTTTTCTTAATTAAAGTTCACTACGAGCTTAAACACTTCAGGCCCCTAAGCCTTATCAATAGCTCGTACAAATTTCTCTCTAAAATGCTAGCCTCCAAAATCAGGGAGGTCCTGAGCTGGGTCATATCCACTAATTAAGGGGCTTTGGTGAAGGACCAACAAATCCTTGACGGTGCATTGGTTGCACATAAATGCATCCATTCTCACTCCCTCGCCAAAACCCCGACTCTTGTCATTAAATTAGATTGGGAGAAAGTCGTTGTCAATTAGGCGATTCTCGACAACACCCTTCTAAGAATGGGCTTCGGT